TTTTTTTTTTGTTGCAGAATTCGCACAGAAACTTCATATTCATCCATAAATTAGTGATCTTGGAGTATTTTAATGGTTGTAGAAAAATAAAGGCTGATTGTTACCTTGTCGGTAAAATAGTGAGATATACTATAAAAAAATATAAATTACAAACATCAGCTTAGTCGGTAATTTACCAACGTGAAAAGTGCCCTGTAATACTATTCCAACAAGATAGTTGCAGATAACACTTTTGTCGGTAATTGATTTTATTTTACCGACGTGGAAAGCGCTCTGACAGTACTATTCTGGCTAGAGGGTTAAAGACATGCTTTTAGTCGGTAATTTCAAGCCATTTACCGATGTGACTTAAAGCCACATCGGTAAATGAATTACCGAGCCCACTTTCACCGACAAAGTCATTTCCGACATGATCCAAGTTGGAACCCTGTTTTACTGACCTGATTACCTTTATTTCCGACATGATTTCTTGTCGGTGAAATTATGAATTCTAGTAGTGGGTGTTTGTAGGCCACATTATTGTATATATTAGAAGAGTTAGAATATATTTATACAAAAATCTTACATATTACAGTTACATCAAATCTTGATCATTCGTTTCCACACTTTTAATGGTTGAGATTTAGAAATTTTTATTAAAAATAATCATCGTTTTTATTTAAAAAATTATAATAAATTTCAATAATTGAAAGTAAAAAGACGAATTGTTAAAATTTTATATAAATTTGGTATATAAGACTCGTGTATAAATGCATCTCTAAAGATAATTATTTCTAATAAATGTGAATAAATTTCAATAATTGAAAATAATAAAATGAATTATTGAGATTTTGTATAAGTGTTATATAAAACGTAAATAGATATCTTCTCTAAAAGTATATAGTATATTTCTAATAATTATTAGATATACTATATATTATATTCCATATATCTATATATAATGAGTAGGGATTCACGTACATTTAAGCCATGTATATCACATTTATACAAAATTTTAATAATTTATTTTTAAAAAATTTATCTCCTGTGCTCTGCCTAGGGTTGGGGGCGATGACTATGGGTTTCTCCCTAGGGTTCTCTTCGGTTAGGAGTTCCTCCCTCTTCCTCTTCTTCTCCGACAAGGGTTTCTCCTCTTGCTCTCTTCCTCCATCATCATCGTCTGTCTTGCTTTGGAAACTTCAACCTAAGGGACCACAAGGCAACGGCTCCTTTCGATCCGCATCGGCTGTTGATTTTTGACGATTGCGTCTAGATACCGAGGGACTTGATCCAGCCAGTGGTTGGATTTCTCCCATCCTCTGAATCGGATTTTCACTTATACATGTCTCCTCAGATGAGATCTTGGCAGGGGTGGCAATCGGAGAAACTAGCACATTCCACTTTCCGATCTAGTAGCCAAATACCAATATGGTTGCAGTGGCACGTCGGGTTCTAATCTGCACGGGAGCATGCTACTCATGTTGGCAAAGAGGTTGTAGTTCCCTTAACAAAGTTTCGCTTGCAAGGGTTTTCAGAGGATTGGTAATGATGGGCACATGATTGAAAGTAGTCGGCGGAAATTAGGACGGCAACTTGTGGGTTGGGGACTGTTTGTTGCCGAAATCCCTTGCTCTCCCCATGAAGCTGGTTAAATAGGTGAGGACTTGTCCAGTAACTTTCGATGCTCGTAACGACTCTCCTTTCTACTTTAGTAGCCTTATTTAGTCCATACAACAATTGCAATTACAATTTCTAGTTGCAGATGGCTCTTTTTACTTAATTGTCTATATTCGTCATGGATATAGTTTAAATCTGTTACTAGGCTGTAGGTTATGCTTCTGATTTTGTTTTTTAGGCTCTCATGCTTTAAGCTATATGTCATGTGATGGAGTTTTTTACTGTACTTTCTTATTATTCAATATATTTCTTCATTTCTTATAAAAAAATAATTTATTTATTTATTTTTTATAATTGAAATTTATTCATATTTATTTAAAATAATTATATTTTTTATTAAAAAATCTTGATAATTTCAAATTAAAAGTTAAAAAATAAATTATCAAGATTTTATATAAATATTATACTAGAATTTATATATAACGATATCCCTACTCATACATAATGTATAT